TACTTTAAAATACAATTACAAAAATCGAAGAAATAAATTTCCTGGTTATTTTTAGTGTTAATCTCCAGTGCCCCCTCACAAAAGTAGTGGTGACGGTTTTCTGGACAAAATTAAATATTCTACACTCATATAACACATTTTAATTTTATTTAATTTGTTTAATTATTTTTGAATATGTATTATTGAGTATTATTTCAGTATGTAGCCACGTATTTATAAAATATGTCTAGAATTTTCTAAAGAATCTAAAAATTGAAGAATATACAGGCTCTTGCATTTAACATAAGAAAGTTGGTACTGGCCACTGTTACATGACATACACTGTATAATTTTCAACACTGTATATACATATTAACTATGTGAATGTGAATAAAATTATACAAAAAAATGTCCAAATATTTACTGATTTGTTCAGTTCATTAGCATTACTAACCAAACAATTTACAAGGTGGCACACACTATTAAAATAAATGTCTTTTAGAGGAGATGAAAATGTAGATATTATAACGCAAAAAAATAATAATAATTGAAACTGGTAAGTTATAGGACATTTAACTAGGAACAACTGTTGCCTTAAATATGTTTACTTTGAAGTTCCGATTTTTGTAGTTAAGCGGGGCTAATTAGACAACTGTGGTTAATTTTCGGATGGATGTAACACCCAAAGTTATGTCGAACAATTACAGCGTAGTGACGATGATTGTGATCGAAAATTTTCACACCGTTTTGACCAAAATTAATTGTTACTTCAAGAATTGAAAGTCTAAAATACTGAGAACACCATGTATTCTCGTTGTGTATATGCTACCGCTGAAGATTGATGCCGCTGTTATCGACTGACATATGTTTTCTTAGACAAATAAATAGTTTTACTTGCTTTCGCATGAATATGTCTATCGTTAAAGAAAATTTCACAATTTGATAGAGCTTACAAAAATATTGAAAATAAATATATTTGCAGAGCGTTTTATTAGGTATTTCCTTGCTATTTTTAGAATACATTTATTTTTATATATAAAATTTAGTACATTAAATTTTCAAACGTTTCTTTTATGCTTAGAATGTTGGTAAATATATGCCAAGAAACATCATTGTAGTTTTTTCACATACACTTGACAAGAGTATGAATTAGATATACAGTGTGGAAACCACTTATGGAATAAAATTCTTTATGTCATTATTTTAGAAAATTATAAAAAATGCCGAGACATGTCAACTTTTGAATTGAGTTGTGCGTTATGTAAACATAAATTTAAATGTACAGGGTGATTCACGCAAGTATGCCATAGTCGGTGTTGTTTTTTTTTTTAATGAAACACCCTGTATATTTGCATACATACATTATTCAGTTTGTTGGAATCGGTTCATTAAGAGGATTTCAAAAATATGCAAATATACAGGGTGTTTTTCCACACTGTATATATATTTTTTAATAATAATAACAATAATGTTTGATAAATAAAATTTTTATATAATTACGTACAACATTTTTATAAACAGACACATTACAAATAAAGAGGTTAGTCAAGAAGTAATGCTAAGTTTATTTGTGTGTGGTAAAAAATACAATAATTATACAGGGTGTTTCAAAAAGGTATGTCATAAATTCTTCCACAGATAGATTATCAAAAAATAAGTGGATTTGGCTATACTTACCTATATCAAAAACTGGCTCCTAATAAAGTTACAGGGTGTTAAACTAACATTCAAAAAAACGTTTTTTTTTTTTTTGTAAAAAGTTTGCTGTTGCGAATTTTTTTTTGAAATTTTTGCCAGTGCTGTAGATTTAAAGGCACAATATTCCAAAGAGAAAAAAAATTAAAGCTACCCCTTTAAAAAAAGTTGGGGGGTTGGGTATCTTTTAACCCCCCCGTATTTTTTTTTGTCATAAAGAAACTTGCCTTATCGATCTAAAAATCAAAAAGAACTATGAATTTTTAATTTTTTTTTATAGCAAAATGAACTTTGTATCTTTCTTAGTTAAGGTATTTAGGTATATAGGTATACAGGTATTTAGGTATATAGGTATTTATGTATTTAGGTATTTAGGTATTTAGGTATTTAGATATTTAGATATTTAGGTATTTAGGTATTTGGGTAATTAGGTATTTAGGTATTTATTTAGGTATTTAGATATTTAGGTATTTATGTATTTAGGTGAGTATTGTGAGATGGGATTTAATTAGACTTTTGTAAATCATTTTTTTTTTGTTTTAAATTGAGTATTTTACATATTTCTTTGAATATAAATAGTATGTAACGTAGTTTTTTTAAAAGATATTGTATATATTGATCCCATCTCAAATTGTAATCTATCATAATACAAAAGTACTTCGATTTGCTTACAGGGGAGATTGTAAGATTTTCAATATTTAGATCATAGTTTGGCACAGCATCAATGGTAAGTATACACTTTTTTATATTAAGTGACAAAAGTCTATTATCTAGCCACATATTAACATGTTGTAAATCATGCTCTAATTTATGTTTTAGATTAAACCAGTTGCTGTCATCGCAAAACAATACAGTATCGTCCGCAATACTGATGATTTTGCTATTTATTTATATCATAAAAATTTTATTTAAGTATATATTAAAAAGTATGAGGCCCAGAAGTGTCCCCTGAGGTACTCTACATGAAATTTGTTTCCACTACTGTATGTTTTATTTTTATTTTTTGTATTCTATTCATTAAATTATTTCTGAATAGGTCATGTGAAATACCCCTAATTCCCAAGTCTTTTAATGTGTTTAGAAGAATTCTGTGGTCTTGATTTTTCTAGAGCATTATAAATATTTTTTGTTTAATACCTAAAATGCATCTTGTGTAGATTTGTTTTATCTAAAATCGTACTACAATGAAGCCAGCAATTTGTGTTTTTCCAAAAATTTATTTAGTCTTGTTTGTATCACTTTCTCAAATATTTTTGCTAGACTACTAATTAGGGAGACTGGTCCATAATTATTTGCTTCTTAATTTTCTCCGTTTTTGTAAATTGGGGTTACAATTGTTAGTTTAAAGTGGTTTAGCAAAGTTGTCTTTAATCATTTTTAACGTTTCTTCTTTTATACCGTCATACCCTGGATCTTTTTTAATTTTTAGTTGCATTATAATTTCTTTTAGTTCAATTTCATCCGATGGATACATAAAAATGAGTGGTTACCAGCTTTCCTTTTTCTCAGTGTAATTTATATTTTCATTAATGTTACTAGCCAAATTTTTACCGATAGATATAAAATATTCGTTAAACGTTTCTGCTATTTCTACAGGTTCAGTAATTATTTCATTTCTATTATTTTTTAACGAATTTATTATAGCTGTTTGTTAAAAATGCATTAATAGTTTTCCATAGATTTGTTGAAATATTGTCTATTAATTTATTTATTTTTATTTTACAGTATTTGGTAATTACATTTAAGTATTTCATTTTGTGGAAATTCTTTGATTTGGTAATACATTTTTTTTTTTTATTGATTGAGTTGATAAGTCTCTTGGTCACCCAAGGTTTTCTCTTTTTGGATTTAATTATAATTTTTTTGTATTTTTTAGATGTGGCAATACATTTTTGTATCATATTAATAAATTTATCTATTTCAGAATCTATGTCATAATTGGAATTTTTAATTTTTAATTTTTTTTCATCTATTATTTTTAGTAAATTATTGTTTGTAATATTTTGTGATCTAGACTTCACATGGATTTTCTGAGACCGATTTTTGGAAAAAATATATTGTGATTATAGAGTCATTTACAAAATGGCCTGAGATTTTTGAAATAAAAAATACAAACAACCAACAGTTTAACAGTTATTAAAATTTCACAAACTCTTTTTGCTCGTTTTGGTTTGCCTTCAAAAATCATTAGCGATAACGGACCCAAATTTTCGTCATATGATTTAAATTTTTTTAAATACACCTAATATAAATATCTCTGATTGTAAATTACAAGAGCCTTGTATTACAGATGGTTCCCCTAACTTCAATAAAACACCTTCTAGTGGTCATAAATATAATCTTAGGTTTAGGGTGAATTAGAGCTATTGTAATATGTAATAAAAAATATAAAATTCAGTTTTAAAATGTATTTTGATTTACATATTTATACTTACCAAATTTGTATAATTTTATCTTAAGAATAGTTTTGTAAAAATATTTGATTTGTTTACTATTTTTAAAATTGTTTTATTGTAAAGGTGGGAGTGTGTAATATATTTAATAAAAACCTTTTGGTACGCCCATGGTACGCTACCGATAGATAAATTCATTGGTTTTTGTGTTATTTCTATAAAAGGCATTTCGTGTCTTCTTTTGTTTTGTATGAAAAAAATAAATTTAGTTATAATCTGAACTTTGTTACCTAATCAATACCCCCATTTAAATATTCTGTAGCCATATTAATAAAACTATAACTTTATCTAAGTATACAATAGTAACGTTGTCCAAGATTTTACCAGATTCCACATGTTTTCTTCTTCTTTTAACACATGCTCGATTGCTTTTGGCCAATTTTCCTTCGTAACAAGTGATATGAAGATTTCTAACAATGCCTTTACATCTTTTAACTTCTATATTCTTAATTTACTTAATTTATTTAAATTTTTATTTAATTATAGTTATCACTAAAGATGGTGAAAGCTAAAAACGCTTTGTATAAGATTCTTTTTTTTTACTTTTTATAATACATATGACAGTTAAAGTGTTAAAATCGAAAAGTTTTGTTTAAAAAGAGTAAATGTGAATTCTTGACTCATTTATAATATTTAATATGATTTTACGGCATCAACAGCCTCATATTGCAGTATATACTACTGAGAACTGGTTAGTAATGTATCATTTTTGATTGTCAATAATTCATTCCAAATTCTGTACTCTTCTACCCAGTAACCCAATTCCAGCAGAAAAATTCTAAATATTTAATTTACACCGATCAGATCGATCCGGTCCCCTTCGGGCGATCGCTGTTGGTTAACAAATTCGAAACGTACGGCTTAAGGACTTACAAGCAACATGTATCTGTCTCCGATCCTCAGCATGTCCCCCGGGAAATCTTGGATTGTCCGCCCGACACACGAGATCCTTGCCATCGTCGTCTGATGCCACATTAAGCGATAAAATGCTTCCTGTGAAACTTTCTGTTTCTTCTTCCTGGAAAAATAACATACCTAACGATTAATAAAAGGAGTAAATAGGAACAAGAAAATAAAAAATATGTTGTTTATTATTTTCTGGTTAGTATACGAGGATGTATCGCAAAATAATAAAGTTTTTTTTTTAAGATCTACTTTACACCTTACATTTTGCATATTTATCTTCTAATCAAATATGTGTATTGTAAATTTTTTAGCTGATATTTTTACTCTTTGAGTTGTCGGACGTCTCGTTTGCAGGGATTTTAAACTAACTCCTTGCAGATAACACTTCCTGATGGTCCCACCAACCACTTTAAAAAAAAATAATGATTATATAAATAATAACAATAATAATACTAAACTGATGTATGGAAAGAGGACAAAAGTATTGTAATAGTTGTAGGTAAAGGAATTTGTTGTTTAATTCAAAGATCAAGTAAGTAGACATATCTGTTTTTGCGGCACTCGAAAACAAAAATATGTTTTGTATGGTCACGTTATTGCATGGGTAAAATGGAATACATAATAGGTTTGTTCCAACCCAACAGAAAACCGTACATCATACGGTCATCGTCATGCGCAGTAAATAAAGTCCGTTCCATCCGAGAATTGACGATTCATAAGGTTTGTTCGGGTTTCCTTAAAACTCGATGCAAACCGTCCGAGAACTAGTGGAACAGTTCAATTCTAAAGTATACGTCGCACACAACTATTAAACTGTCCACTGGTCAACTAGTCCTCTGATAGTTTTCAATGTATTTTAAAGAACCCGAACAGACCTATTGTACCGTCCAGTTAGCGTTCCAACTAAACATGGGACCGTTCGGGAATCGGTTTCTGTACGATCTTTTCAATACCAAACTAAAAGTTGGTATCGCTAAGGTTGACACGCGCACTGCGTAAACTGAAATGAGCAAGGCTCGTCTTTTTTATTTGGATTTGACGTTTAATACTTGGTGGTGTTTACGTTTTTACATTAAATTATTTTTCACATGTTCTGCTTAATTATGTTTGTTCTTGGATAGTACCCAATTTAATTATGAGTGATGAAGAAGGTGATGATTTTCTCTCAGTAAAGACAATTTAGAACTTGCCCTAAATGAATATAGAGTTTGGTTAGTTCCCGCCAACTGAAATTGTCAACAGCTTCGATACTGAAAATGGTAATAAATTCGTTCCAACCTGGTAGAGTGTGATTCCATCCACAAGACAGTGCCAGGTTAGCGTTTGCGCATAATAAGCTAGTTGAACGATCCCGTGTACCGTTTCTAAACGGTACAAAACTCTTGGTTGGAACACACCTAATATATAAATGTTATAGCACTGATATTTTGAATGTGAGGAGAAGAAGAAGTGAGGAATGGTTTTAGTTAATTTGGAATGTAATATAGTGTAGTGTAATGTAGTATAATAATGGCTTGTAGGTATTCTGGCAAACATTTTATACGTAGCTTCCCTCCCAGCTATTCAATTAAGGGATTATGTAAAAATTATGTGCTACTTCTAATTCTAAGCCTGTAGCACATGCTCTCTTAGCTTCTAGATCGACTTGGTCATTACATGCATGATCTTTTACTTATATAAAGTTTGTCTTTTTATTATTTTGTTTGAGATACAGTATTTTTGTTAAAAATTATATCACTTAAATTGTTTGATTGGATGCCCCTAAAGAACTTGTAGGGCAGACTTAGAATCATATAATAATGTAGCTACACTACATATTTTATGTCCCGTAGATATTTTTCATAGCCCAAAAATGTAGTGAGATTGTTTTTATAAAAAAATCTAAAGAAAACCGAGATGCTCTGTGCTGTATTCGTTCGAAGCTAGTAAAGCATCCCATTTTTTTAATAATAAATTTTTTCGTAATGTTTTATATTTTAAGAGGTGCAAAATGTGGTGTGGTTGTTTTAAAAAAATTTTATAATATTTCAATAGCCTGAAAACAGCCTAAAATTCGGAAATTGTTTATAGAAAAAAAAACTTTAAAAACTGAGGTGCTCTATTGGCCTCGTTCGAAGCTAGCAAAGCATCTCACAATTTTTTGTTCGAGAAGCTTTATATTATACCAAGTGTCAAAAAATAGTTGTTTAAAAAAACAAGGTGCTCTGCTGGCTTCGTTCTAGCAGCACCTTGTATTATCTGAAAATAGCAATTTTGAAGAAAAAATTGTGGTGTGGTTCTAATTTATTAGCTTGTTTTGATGAAGGCTTATGGAATACTATAAAGGAAATGAATTGTGCTCTTTTAGTAACAAATACTTAAAATTAAATAAATTAAAGTTAAATACACTAAAAACCAAAGCTATGATAATAATAACGAAATACCAGTACAATTTTCTAAATATTAATAATTTAACCTTAAAATAGATGATGAAAAAATAGAAATTGGTACGTCAATAAAATATCTTGGATTTTATATTGACAATATTTTGTTATTTGGTAATCATTTTGATATGTTTAAAAATGTTTGTAAGAAAATTAGTTTTTTTTTTCAAGAATATCCAGAAATTTATCACTACAGTCCAGAGTTACAGTTTTCAAGTCAATTATCCAGCCTCGTTTTAATTTTTGTTCTTCTGCTATCTATTTGTTAAAGAGAAATTTAACGAGTGAAAAAGTAAAATAATCTGCGAAGAAAATGATATTATTTTATGAGACATGGGTATTGTGTGATTCCGGAAAATTATTTATCATTTTACACGTTTAACCAGTCAAAACTATAAATAAAAATAATTAAATAGGGCAAATCGGATTTATGGGATGTACACGAATTTCGCTGAATTTGTCAATTCCTTCTTATGTGTAATCTAATTAAATTAACTTCCTTAATCAGCAATTAATAATAGGCAATATGTTATGTCCGAAGAATATGTATACCTACTTATATTCCACGATTATAGGCCAATCCAGTGTACTTAAAGTGGTCAAATTTAATATATAGCTGGACATATTTTTCAATTATTAGTAAAAATAGTTAAACAGGCATACTCTTCCACGTTTTCTACACCACGCCTCCTTTTCAAACAGCGTATGCATGGCAATAGCTATTTTAACCTGATGACAGATGTCAAAAATCAGTCCAACCTAACGCAGATGCCATTTTTTATCCAAAATTTAGTTCAAAAATCGATCTAACACGATAAGATGAAGAATACCCAATGGGGAGAGTGGAGACGTCATCTAATCCCATACATGTCAACTGTTAACAGTGTTGCCAACCTAAAATATGTTAACTGACAAAAAAAGGTGGCTAACCTAGGACTCAAGATGGCGTCCGGCGTGAAACATGTGTCAGCTGTCAGCGAGATAACCAAAGCGTAAAAGCCTAGGGGATTTCGGATACTCAAAGACAAAGAGGAGACGTCTGGAGAATGCCTAGTAATATGTCAATTATCATCTGTCAACTGTCATATACGAAAAATTATCTAAACTAAGGACGTTTAAGAAGTCGCTAAATAATCAAAGGTAAAGAACTGAAGAAGACCTAGTGAGAAGACTGGGGAGGAGTACATGTAGAATTAAGTTTAAGCGGAGTGGCGTGATCAGGGCGTAAGTCATTGCTATTGGTCCAATTTAATCGGAGAAAAAAGGCATGTCAACTTTTAACCAAACCTAGCAGTTGTATTGAGGTATTTTTTAGCGAGTGCTTGGTTTAAAATATTTGCGACATTTTTAAACCGTTTAAATTTTAGCGATGTAACTATGACGTCACATACAAAATATTTTAAACCAAAGCTAGAATTTTTGAACCAGTCGGAGGCATATGATTCAATAACGGTTGACACATAAGAAATTCTGATTTTGGCTCTTGTATGTTGTTTTGCTTTGTTCCATTTTTAAAAATTTTGTTGATTTTTATTGATTTTTGATAATTCCATACATATGTGATTTATATTCATACATTAATTGGTTATAACGTTATAATACAAATATAAATGTTTATCGTTATATCTTGTAAACATCATATACAGTTGGACGATGTGATCTACCTATAAATTATGAAACAATGATGCAATTGAAATAAGGTAAAAGGATTACTTATTAGTTGTACGTTTTTTGCAAAAATAATTACGTAGTTTGCTTCAAATTCTGAATTTGAATCTTGGAAAATCTTGAAAAATCTTAGAAAATCTTAGATTCACTTATCTTTTTTCACATAAATAAGTGTGTTCAATTGTCGAGAACTTCATATATACTGCTATTTTTAAAATATTTCTAAAATTAAACATCTTTTTACTAAATCATATTTGAGAAAATCAGATTTAAAACAGACATGCACAACCTAAATCCGAGAGTAAAAAAAATCCTATTGCACACAACAAAGATATCATGGTTTTCTTATCAAATTGTATTTGTTGGTTATATCATAGGCATTCTCTCTTTCGTTAAAAACTTTTAAAATTAACGTAACTAACAAGTTGTTTTAGCATCAGTAGTAGTTTCCATTTTTACAATATGTTAGTAATACCGTATAGAATAAGCGATACCGCAATAGTGGTAGAAATGTATCCATCTGTCTAATCACGGGAGGCAGGCAACCGATTCACGAAAGCCTATCTTTATTTTTTTTACATGTACATTTAATTAGGGATTTCATCTTTATTTCGAAAGATACACGGGTTAACATAATATTATATTTATACACACAATTATAAATAATTTTCAATACCACCTCACAAATAACACATTTTCACTTTAATATTTTCAGTGTTATATTTTCCTTTGTGATAGACAAAAACAATTCATTTATTATTAAAAATTTAACCCAAATGTCAACGATGCATAGATTTAGCTACGAGTATTAAACAAACAATACCTTAATATTTAGGACAAAGAACTTACTAACTTCATGACGCGACGGAGTGTTAACAGAAAGCGCGGTTGAAGACAAATCTGCTTAATCTTTTCATTAATTAAAAGCCCTAAAAGAAAAGTTAATATAAAAGTTAGTTCCGACTACTTGTTTTCCCCTAAAGTTTGATCTGGATAAGGGTTTCGAAGAGAGAAGTAACTTTTATATATAAGACACACCTTCAAACACATTTCTTGCATTTATATAAATTTCTACGTTTTTGGGATAGTGATTACTTAAAATTTTCATTAAAAAACTTCAAGGAGGCATAGGTTCAACCGGAAATAAATTTAAAAACACATAAAAATTATGTAAATTGTGGGTGAGGACCTAGACTTTAGCCTGCAGGTTTACTAGACCTAATGCTGCTTGATTTGTCATTTAGGACTATTTAAAGTACTTTACTGCGTAAGCATACTAAAGATAAAGCAACTGAAGCTTGAGTGATCTCATCCAGCGAATATATTTAGTATTTTTGGTTTATATCTTTCAGAAATATTTCCAATTAGAAAAATATAAACCCATCTAACCCAGTGAAGCAAAAACGCGACTCATCTGAGAACAATACCCAGCTCCAGTTATCATCATTCCAACGAACGTAATCTCTGGCAAATGTTAATATTGCAATCCGATGCTGGCGTTGCAACGGGGGATCTGTAGCAATTCTTCTGCATGACAGTCCAGCAGCATGAAGTCTTCTTCTAACGGTCCACTCACTAACGTTGACATTTCTCACTTCTTCCAACTGATTTCGCAGTGAAACCGCAGTAGCTGTTCTATTCCGCAAACTTGTGGACACCAAAAAATGGTAATCTCGTTGAGTGGTATCTCTTTTCCGCCCAGATCCTGGTCTTTTAGTGATCAGGCCAGTCTCAAGAAAGCGCACACCACAAAGACTAGTACCAACAATTCTTGCCCCCGACCATCTTATAACAGCGCAACAATTCTTGCCACAACAATCGGATCTCAAGGCATTATGGGCCTGTTAAATCACTACACTTTGCAATCGTTAGGTTTTACACAAAGAATCAACATTAAACTGGAAAACAGGCAAGAGAAATGTGAATTGTTCAATAGCGTAAAGGCACATTTTTCATAAAAGTCGTAAAAACAGGGGCCTTTGTATTCTAATAAATCGACTGACAGCTGTCAAGTCTCGGACAACAATTGCTTCAACGCCTACTAATACTATTATGTCCTTCAATTTTTTGCTCGCCAGTATATTTGGGACACTTTGATTACTATACGGGACAAGAGAGAGGTCCGACACGCCCAACGTAGGGCGCGGCCATTTTGATTCCTATGACACAGTCGGCACTTTTGATCTCAATGTTCCAGTTTATACACTGCGCAACTCTTATTCACATCAATTTGTAATCAGTGCTGATTCCATTAACTCCCTTCATGTCATATCCCAATTAAATTCCAAAAATCTTATAGCCAAACTAATCAAATAAGAAATTAACATTCTAAAACCCAAAATAATAAACTTCTCTGGGTTCCTCCACATATATGCATCAAGGGCAATGAACTGGCTTACAAGTATGCAAAACACGCCCTAGAAGACTTTACCTGTCAATGAAGTCCCACCAAGTGATCAAAAATCATTATTTAAATAAAAAATCACAGATCAATGGAATTAAATTTGGCAAAACAAGAAGTCTAATTCATTGGAAATTAAACCTAGTTTTAGTCCGTTGGCTACCGAGTCATCTACCTGCTCTTCATAAGTTTGGGTCACACTGGCAATCTAATAGCAAAGACCAATTTTTGATTTATGATTCTATGATTACGATAGAATTTTAAGTGCCAATTTTAATTTACCGATTATTTTCAATTCACGGTGTAAAGTTAATGTTGCCCATACACACTAGTAACAAAAAAAAACAGAACATATTTATATAAAAAACTGAAAAAGTAAGAACACTTATCGAATGTACAAAAGTAATTTTGCAAAGCACCATTCTTGTTGTACAAACTAGATACTATTATGACTCGTATGTTATTTTTCATACTGGTGCAATAAGCTAGTCGCCTAATATACTATTTCGGTTTACAATTATTATGTTTTGTATAAATTAATTAAACTTTTGTACAGCTGGACTATTCATTTCAACCAAAGTGACACGAAATGAGGCTAATAGGTAGAGTGCTGATATTGCACCTAAAATTAGTTCGAAAGTTGGTGTGTAACACGTTCTAACTCACTTACTGTAACAACGGCGTTCCTAATGGCTCTTCCATCAAGTAGCCACGTTAGTTTGGCAGGTGGATAAGAACCGGAACTCTCGCATCTTATGTTTTGCGACTTGCTGATGGACAGTAAATCATTCGGCGTCACTATCTTTACTTTATTTGGCTTTACTGAAATAAAAAAGAATATATTTATTGCTAATAATGTAAATAGTTACGAAATGACTTATTTTATGTAATCAGTAAATATATGGAAAGGAAGTCGCTTACTAAATGTTCATGGGAGTCGTTATATTATTTTCCAGAAAGGGGAAAACAAATTTAGTTGTTTTAATTTAAAAATTAATCAAATAATTCATAAATACCTTTCTTATTTTTATTTATCAAAATTGTTATTAACAATACCGCGTTGGTGAAGGATTTGGACAAATTTAATTTAGATAAAATCAAGGTGGTTCAAAATTATTAAGTGAGATTTTTTTTAGAAAATAAGTATATTATTTAATGAGATTGAAATACGTTTTTGATTGAAAATAACAAATTTTAAGGAAATTTCTATATCAATACATTAAAAATACCTACATACAAAAAATTAAAAAAAAAAGTAATTTTTTTCTACACTATTTTAAGCACTTTAATAAGAATTTAGGGGGCACTTGCCCCTCGTTACCCCCGATAAACGACGTCCATACATATGTTTATTAATCTATCTGATAGCTATGTTCTAACTAATATTGACACTTACAAAATACTGTGAGCGGTATTTCCCTAGAAATATAACCGGCAGCCTCAGACGACGAAGCTCTGCATTCGATCTGAGCTCCCTTCAGGTACCTCGGAGTAGAGGATATCACAAGTTGATTTACAGTCGTATACGATTCCCTGCTTGAATCTATCACGTTGTCCAAAATTGTACCGTTAAACCACCAGACAAGGCTTGGTTTGGGACGACCTGAAAAATATTATTACGAATAATTTAGTTTATTTAGAATAAAAAAAAAAGAAACAAGTTGTGGTCAATAAATGTAAGGCCAATGCACAGTTTGTAGTTAAAGAATCAGTTCACTCACTCTGCGTCGGCACTTTTGATCGCAATGTTGCAGTTTATACACTGCGCAACTCGGATTTGTATCCCTAAAGGTGGGTCCACATTGCTCGCGAACAGTGCGAACGAACACAACAAGCGCAACAAACGGAGCAAACAGCACGAATCAAACAAAAATCATATTCGTCGTGTTTGAGCTGTTTGCAGCGTTCCTCGTGCTTGCAATCACCCAAAACACCTGGGGGCCTATTCTCCAGTTGAGAGAATGATCATTTCATGCGAACTAGACAGTCGTTCTCTTAAAAAGTGTGTGAGTGGTATTCTTGAATTGAAGTGAATGATCACTTCGCATGAAAATCGAGAGAACATACTTCTCTTATTCAAAACCAGTAGAAGAGCATCATTTCGGGAGAACATTGGGAGAACTGTCATTGTTGTGCGCTATCAAAACGTCACTGTTTTTAATTAAAATGGATTTGGACGAAGCTCTTATTTATATTCATATTTTGAATGATCTAGCTGAAGCGGAAGAAGATGCCAATCGGCCAAATAATTTTTTTAAGAAAAGAGGATCCTTTTGACTTTAGTGACGTAATATTTATACAAAATGTTCGTCTAAGTAAACCTTTGGCACGGGATTTAATAGATAATAATGTATAATAATATAATCTGTAATATAATCTGTTATTATAATTGTCAAAAAATAATAAAAAATTGAAGTAAAGTGCCTTCTAAAATAGTTCTAACGCACAACTTAAATTTGGCAGCGGTGCTCCGTGAACCTATGAGATGTGAATGATTCAAGAATACCGAATACGATGACCGAGAGAACAAATTGGTGATAGGACACTTCACATCCCACAGTGGAATGTTCACATCACAAAGCACATAGAGGTTCCACGTGAATGACCAAGGTCAAAACCGACAACTGACATTTTTTATGCTATTTGCTCCAAACTCTAGATGGGGCTACTGGTAAAATTCTGATTTCTTACTCCATTTTTAAGCTTTATGGGAGAAAAACTTAACCAAAGACTCCAAAGATGTGACGTGTATTTATTTATGTTTTTGGTTAATCTCATTTTTCCGTCTGATTTTAGTGATTTTTTGTTGGCTTTGGCTTTTGGTTTCTGTTTATAGTTTCGTCTTAGTTATTTGCAAAATTGTGATGTTTTGCTTTTCTATTTGCTACTGTGTTTTGCAATAATTTTGGTGCTACCTGTGGGTGCTACGTTGAAAACTTCGAGAAAAACTTATTGATTCACGATGCATCTGCATCATAAAAAGACAAACGGGTATAACAACTAATTGATAATCAATTTATCACTGGACTAGATTCCGAAATCATTTTTCACATAAGAGAGTAATACACAAAGCAGTGGAGTAATACCACCATCTGTATTTGGAAGGAAAATACCTATTTATCATTGAATGAATAGTTAAAATGATTCACCTTTTAATACAATACCTATATTACATTTGTCCTCGGTTTAAAAGACATTTATAAAATATATTATTTTAGTGTTAATAAAATGTAATATCCTAGTCTCTACTTCACATTTAAATTATTGATAGGTATTTTAAAGATTTGAGAGTAAGTATTCGTTAAATATGTATTATTATTTGTATTTATTTTTATCTAATAATATTTATTTAAGTTATTAATAAACATATTTTAAGAATGTTCTATTTAATTATTTATTGATATATCTTATATTTATTTAATAATAATATGCAGAACCAACTCTCCACATCAGACCCCTGCTTATAACAAATTAATTCCTCAAATTTGGTATAATCGACCTAAATTATTTTGTAAAATAAAAGTTTCGAACTTACTTGTTCCATTCTTTATTTTATAAAATAATTTATGTGGAAATCATTTAAAATTTAATTTAAAACTACTACCTACTCCTAAAAATTACAATTTGAATTTACCGCCATCTGTCAATTGTCATTTTAGTTCCAGCTCCAAACACAAGGTGGCGCTAATTTGGTTTAAAAGTTTAACATTGGCGTGGGGTCTCTAGAAGATACGTGCTTTGTGGTTCACATCGTTTAACTTGGAGAATAGGGCCCCTGTTTTTACTGTTCGGTCAGGTAGCGGTACATCAAAGGGATGCATATTGCGCGCGCGAGCACAGTTGACGGTGGTTTGGTGATTTTTACTGTTCGCTTTCAAGTTCAGTCAAGTACAGTCAAGTACGAGTAGACATGGGTAACGCACTAAAATTCTTTGCGTTGATACACTAACTCCGGCGCACTCTATTGCGCCAACTCATTGCGTTAACGCAATTGCGTTATTGCGTCACACCACTGCCTGCGCCGAATGAAGTCGATGCACCTCTGTGTATCGCATGATACCGGTGTTATACAGCGCGGGCTGTCTTTTGTTCAAGGCAATAACGCAATTGGGAATTTAACTAAATTTTTTTATTATATGTTTAAAAATAAACGAAAATATAACAGTGTAATGCACTCATTTTTTTATTTCATTGTGTTCGGATTTTACAAAAAATACAAAAATTCCAATTTATATAAAAAGGATATAAATTTTGTATACTAGTAGCCAATCAAATTGAAAATAACTAAAAATTGACAGTGTACAAGATTAAAATTCATAAAATTCGACCTACAATCCTACAAATGATGTGACATGTTGCAAAGAACATAATTACTTGAAAGATTTTGGGTAATCTGCATTACGAGTTGCATCAATTACGTAAATTAAAATTCTCAACTCGTCACGGAAAACGGAATCAGTGCCTGGCGCATGGCGCACCAACAACTCGCGATCCTTTCGACTCAGTATCGAAAATTGCGTTGCGCTGATACAGTAACAACTGGTGTATCAACGCTCGTAACGCATACAACTGCGTTAACGCAATAACGCAACGCAGCGCTGCGTTACCCATGTCTAAGTACGAGCGTACGAGCAAGGCGAAGTGGAATATGGAGTGGACTGAAGAAAACATTTTGAAGCTAATTGGGCTTTACGAAACTTATCCTGTTTTGTGGGATCCACAATATTAATTTTATGAGCTAAATAACAAAAAAATGGTAGTATTCTTTCTTTGGATATGTGGGCTAACTAAATTAATTAGTGTTTCACAATCGGTACTACTCATGCGACAAAAATTATTAAAAAACATCCCATATGTTTGCAAATCATGCAGAAGATTACTTCCACTGTATTTGGATCTACTTTTAAAAATATTTGACATCCAACACCGTCTTTTTGTCACTTTTTTCCTGTAATAATTAACGTACTGGCAGCCGCCGTTAATAATAATTGATCATCCATGTCGGAACCGCAAGAGCTCAAACACAGAACTACAATGTGGACACTTTTGCTCGCGGATAAAACGATCTTGACAAATAGAAGAAACACAAAGAGCAGCGTTCCGGAAACAACATTAGCGCTAGCACGAGCACGAGCGTGAGCACGAACAGAAGCAATGTGGACCCACCTTAACGCATACAGAATCAAATCAAAACCAATACAATATATGACAACCGCTTATATTCAAACAGCAGTCTTCTGCGCGTCCTGAATTTGTATCCCTGGAGTAGATATTATTTTGGAATATCCAACTGGTTCGTGAGCTTTAGCACTGATCCTTTAGCAATAAACTTTGACCAAAGTAACTTAAAAACGTCTAGTCAATGTAGCCCTGGTTTTTAACTTTAACATTCGATAGAACGTAGAAGGTTTTTTTATTTACTTTAATAAAAATAGATTTATAATGCACAAAGAATGTTAAATTTGACATATTAAAACGTAACGAGACCTAATCAAACTGAAAACGAATTTTCAACTAACCAAATTATGACTATGCTTAGTAAAATTTTAGCAGAATTACTATTTTAGAGGAAGATACCTTCCCCCAAACGTCTAGACATCCTTAATGGAGCAAATAGACTTAATAATTGTAATGTATAATGCCAATGGAGTTCTTAGTTATCGACAAAAGTTACAGGTGTTTCTAATAGAACAAAATATAGATATGTGTCCAACAAAACAAAGCTACATACAATTTAAAGTCTACAGCAATATACATCCTAGAGCATATACATAGTTAATGTTCTAGACATCCTTAACTCAAAATATTTCTGTTTTAGAGACCTAGTAGCAGTAAGGATGGAAATAAACATAGCAGGCAACATTTTAACCTCTGCATACCCAAGCAGCAACCAACTATTACCATTCCTAAAGGTGATGCTGCAAAACAACTCTTTTTAACGGGATTGATTAGATGTACATTAGAAAAAATAATCAATACAACAAAGTCTTTTAATTGCTGGTATTATGACCACAAAGCTAGAAAATGGACGGGTCCAAATAGATCCAATCTATGTTTTAACTGTCGATTAGCAAAGCACACAAGCAAAGGCTGCTCTAATTAAGAAGCATGTCCCATATGCGAACAAACAGGGCATAAATCGGGAACAATAAAATGTCAAATCTTTAAGTTAGGAGATAAGAATACGTATACACCCAAACCAGTCTAGATCAGACAATCCCAAAAGAATTTGCAAGTCTGGAAATTGAAATTCAATCGAATTTCGACGAAAGAAATGAAGAAATCGCCCTCTCACATGGTTGAAGACCACAAGACTACCTTTACCCTGTTATGAATAGCCAATAACCAACCACTAGCAAATAATTTTTAACAAAACCCTTAAAATACTACAAATTAATATTGATAAAGGGTCAGAAGCTCATGATCTTTCCATAATCACAGCAGATAGAGAAAATGTTAACTTGTTCCTAGTGCAAGAACCCAATAGAAAACGTGTAGATAACAACAAAATAAAGGTAGTTGATCCTTAAAGGGATACCGCAATTCAAGGTAGAAACACAAAATGTTGAAATGTTTCGCATAATAAGGAAGAAGGATACTCAAATGTTATTTCTCTTCAAACAGTACAATAAAAAACTTAAGCTACATAGATAACGTCATGGAAGTTAATATCAAAGATAGAAAGGAAAAAGCTGTCATAATTGTAGACCTAAATGCGAAATCTAGAATGTGAGGTTCTAAAAAACTAATAAAAGTGGAAATTAGCTGGAACAGTGCATACAAATGATGAACCTGGTTAATAATAATGACGGGAAGACCCCCACAATTGTACGCAACAATCTTTTATTGACATCACACTTTCCTCACAGAAAATGAGAATCTCTGTCTTGAAATCTATGAATTTATGATAAAAGCAAAAAATTAGCTACTCACTGGAAAAGAAGAAGAAAAATATATTACAGCTAACTAGCGGTAACCTAAGAAAAGAAGCAGAGGATCTAATCATGAATATAAAAGAAGTGCAGGGTAGAAGGCGAAGAGTACTGCCGTATTGCTGGAATAACCAAATCAATAATGAGGAGAAAATTGACACGTTTAAGGACCAACACTAGGCATCAGCTTGCGGGTAATCTGAATTTGGACTATAAAGTAACATAAAACAGAAATTAGAAAATCGGAGAGAGAAGAACTCTATAGAACTCTGTAGAAAAGTAGTGGATGATACATGTGAACAAGGTTACAAATAGTAACGAGTAAACTGAAATGCTTAAATACACCCTACGAACTAGGCAGTAAGAACAAAGTAGAGATAGCACTAACACTGTTTTCCAGAAATTGAGACTACTTTCCAATTAATAGGCCATGTATCTCATCATCTTTAACCACAAGAGCTCATAAAAGCAGAAAAAAATTAGAATTTGAAAAAATTACCGGGACGGGATAGAATTCTTGCTGAAACTGTAAGGATCGCCATCAAAGCAATTCCAGAAGCAATTTTAACAACCAAAAATTATTGAGGGTATAGAAGAAAGCAGCACTTACCTTAGTATGCAAGACAGATGGAAATTCAGACTTATTTACTGATTAGACGTAATTGGGAAATTTTATGAATATCGACTGGAAAACAAACTCGAAAAGAAGAGAGGAATCTCGGATCATCAATTTTGTTTCAGAAGAGGTAAATCAATGGTAGACGCCATTTAACACGTCCTAGATAAGGAAAAAGGGTAAATAAATACAGGGGACACTTATTCTAATCAATCTTGAAAATAGACTAAATACGTAATGTTGCTTTTTATGGCAATAATGGTTAGACACAATAATGAGGATCAAAAACAATTGAGAAATTCACATTTTATGATTCTTCTTCTGATTTAAAGAAATAATATTTCTAAAAATCATTTTTTAAAACATTTGAATCATGTATTTCTTATCTATGTCACTTTGATTCCCAGCTCAGATTAGCAGCTTTTCTTTTATTCATTTACCTGACTGTAATAATTATTTGTTTTAAAAAAATTACTTTTTTTACTATTTTTTATTGCAACTATTATATGGCAAATAAAGATTATTATTAATATTACTTATCACTTTTGAGACATTTTGTTTTTTATTATTCTCTAAAAACAAAAAATTTCGTTTACCTTTTTACCACAATAGTTTTGCATTCGAGCGACAGTATTATCTAAATTTCTCTTAATGACTTTTATTAAAAAATAATCTGCGCTTAAACTACGAAACAGCCTTGTTTAATTGTACAAAACATAACTTTCAAAAGTGCCACTTACCACCGGTTACTTGACAGGACAAAAACAATTCACGTTCTTCTAAAAAAGGTCCTGCGGAATGGCCAATTTTAATTTCACGTCCTTCAGCGTCAAACACTCTCGGGGCGGATGGCTGGGCTGAAATTAAACTTTCGTATAAAATGCCGTACATTCCATTAATAAGAAAATAACGGTCGGGAGACTCGACATGTGGTTAAACAAATTGACCGCCAGAGTATCAAATCGGTTTTTAATTGTTTTTTGGTCTGATCCTGAACACAGGAGGTTAATAATAATGGAAATGAATCAACGAAAGAATTAAACCCAAAATAAATATGATATAACTACTAATTATTTATCTTAAGAAACGTGCGACTAGTTTCGGCTTTATCAAACCATTTTCAGACCTGTATTTTTGTTTTACTTACAATGAACAAGAATAACAAAACAATTTAAAAATAGCAACAGTGTAAAATTTACAAAAATTGGTCCTGGTACAAGTGGTTGTATTATATTATTATAATCCAAAAAAATAGAAATAACTCTAACCTACTAACGTTAAGTTGACTTGAAAATTCCTTGTGGGCGAATTAACAAAGTCAACCCGACATCTAAATACACCTTCGTCATAAATATTCACATTCTGTATTCTCAGTCTCGCCCTTCTGGGCTCATCTTCAGTTATGAAGTAGCTTCGGGATCCAAGATCGTCACTCATGGCTAGATGAGAGGCCTTGTCGAGTGGGCCGTATCTTGCGTCCAAACTGTAAAAAAAATATACTTATTAGCAAATTAAATGAACGTTCCCGTCTGTCAGGTAAGATAATTGGGTTTTTTTGAATTGAATAAAAATCCAGTCTTTATTCAAATTTCATTCTATTTAATTACGTAAAGATATTTTGAAGTTAACGCCGTAAATTGGGCTTTTGTGATAAAAAAAAACTCTAAAAGCATCGAATTTACTATAAGGGTTAATGAAAATAATTTAATTATAATAAAATGATGAAGCGAACAATTTTTAGTGAATAAGGTTTGTTTTATTCCTTAAAACCTAACATTTTTTTGGTCCATTTGAGTAAAAATTGATTCATATGCCTATGAAAACTAAGAGTAAAAGATGAGGTTGCCGAAGAGCAGCAGTCTATTAATGCAAGAAAATCTGCCGATAAGTGTACCAAATATAAAGAAGAAGATAGAGACATTAGTCAGCAGCAAGAAGTCTCATCAAGAGTTCAGCGGAAAAATAAACGAATGGCCGAATTTATATCAACAGTTTGAATCCACAACAAGACTTCTTGAGTTGGCCAATGAAGAAAACGTATGCAGATTACGTAAGTGCTTAAAAGGTGATGCTAAAAGAGTGGTAGAAGCACTGCTGATGACGAATTCTCCTGTAAGTACAATTTTAGAAACTTTAATCTAGAACTTCATATATTTACAAAGAGTAGTCAGCAAACCATGGCAACAGTCGCATATTTTAAGTTTAAATAACGTTATAACATACATTTAACTTTAGTTATGTCTAGGACACAAGTCGTCAAAATAAGTTCAATCCCAAGACTGAAGTTACAAACAGCTGTCATGGGTAGCAGACTTGCAAGAACGATACATAAGGAACACTCGCTAAAGATTGACAGTACTATCTTTTCGACAGACTCTAAAGTAGAATTAGGAACATAGAAAATTCAAAACATTTGTATCCAACAGAATAGCAGAAATTTTGGAAAGTAGTCATGAATCTCAGTCGAGATAGCTTCCTACAAAAGAAAACGCGGTGGTAAAGTGAGATAGACTTCTCTATTGAGTACTGTATACATTTCTATTAGAAGCAGAGCATATAGTTAACAGCCGTCCCCTGACCTGTCTCGTCAAACCATGAAGACCGTGAAAGTCCTCATAGGTACGTCAAGCATAGCCAAGCCACCTGTTCAACCTGACTACGACCTAAGGATAAAAGACATGAAAAGACAGTGGAGATTTTCCCAAAAGCTGGCAGAATACTTCTGGCATCGATTGGTATGAAAATATCTTCCGATACTGACTAGAAGAACAAGATGTTACGAGTAGGAAAGAAATATCGAAAAAGAAGACATAGTAATTCTAATGGATGACAGATTCCCAAGAAACAACTGGCCATTGGGAAGAATTTTGAACACCTATCCAGAAGCAGACGGGAAAGTCAGAGTAAATGTTTTTCTTTTTGCGGCAGACTTTCTAGTAAACGAAATAAAGTACAATAAAAATTTGTATATTGTAGAAGTATCTTATAAAAAAAAACATAATTTATGCTTATCATAGTTTATGAAACCAAAAAACTTGCAGAACAATGAGAGGAAAATTTCTAAATTTTTTCGTTGATGGGAATTGGCATTCTTCTAAGAAAAGATGGCTTTCAACTCCTAGATAACGTGCCTATCTCATTTTAGACATTTTGTAACATTACTATTATAAAAAGTATTAGTAAGATGCCTATAAAAGGACCAAACTCAGTAATATCAAACGAATTCTTCATTAGAGTAAGCGATTTTAAATCAAAAGTCACTTCTTTAGATTCCAATTTCAATTATTCAAGGTTTCCATTTTCCTAAATCAAACCGATTCAAACTAAACTCTTTCATAAAACATACAAAAGAAAACTTATCAGAGCGAGTAATGTATGTGTGTATTTTTCTCTTTGAAAATATGCCAAGGATCGATTGAAGTGCTGTATAGCATTTATTTTAAAAATTGCATATCGATCAGAATATATCCCGGAAGGAAGTTAAGGAGGATCGAGAATATTTAGCCGCACTAGATACACATAAATCAGTGAGTTTCGAGAGCCAGGATGGCAAATTGCTGAGTTCACCACATTTATTGGTGAACTGAAGCTGACAGAGACTGACTGTGCTAAGAATATGGTCAGGAATTGTAATGAGAGACGGACTGTAACCCGAATCTGAAATATTACTTTGGGATCGAATAAAAAATCGGTTAACCACACAAAAAACTTTAATTTTAAGACTGTTTTAGAAAGCCCATACACTGGGATTAACGTTGGTTATAAATCAGCGTATATAAGATTCAAATTTTTACAGGAATATTTTAGGCCTATCATTTGAAAACTTTATACGGGGTGTTAGTATATTAAACCAACAATGCTTTATCGCAACTAGCTCTCATTAATTGATGAATTTTGTCAAATATGAGTCGACACGTTAAAGGATGTTTTGCAGGTAGAATAATGGGATAAATGGGAATAAAGAAATCTCTCTCGGTTATCTTTGTCTTAACTCTTAGTACACCATCTTGATCTCGAATCGGGGCCACACTACTAATATCTTCTACACTGTAAATACACTCTTGTTGAACAAACTTGATTAAAGCCAATTCTGCATATTCGATTTCTGTTGACAAAAGATATTCGGAGTTACGTTTCTCTATTCTGCTATCAACCTAATAAGTTTATTGTGTTTACCGAAATACTTAAAACTCCAAGACATATCAATCTTAGGTTGAATCAATAAAAACATTACTATCTTCCTACGTTCTGCTTGTACAAGATGTTCTTCTACAACGAAATTTTGTGCGATCTTCATATAACCAGCCAGATCCCTCCCACCACTTTGAAAGTAACAACTGTGTTGCTGAACATCCTCTCGGTAACAAGTCTGCAGGATTCAATGTACTGGGGACATGATACCAGGAATCCTTATTGGTTAATTTTCATATCTCTTGTACTCGATTATGGACAAAGGGTTTCCATTTGCCGGTACCATTGATGCAGGCCAACACCGTTGAGGAATCGGTCCAGAAATAGGATTCTATCATGTTATTTGAATTGTTTATAATAGATGACCATAATCTAGATGGAATAATAGCCCCTAACAACTCTGGACTTGACACAGAATTATTCTTCTTAAAAGGAGTAAGTCTTGATTTTGATTGTACAAATCGAACAGTTATGTCAACATCGGACTCTACCCTTAAAAAGACTACACATCGCAGAAAACGTGAAGACTAAGATTCTTTAAACTGACATGTTTATGACTAATCCATCTAGGTATAGTAAAATTAGCTAAGTCAGGTAGCTGATAAAGCCACTTGAAAAATGTAGATTTCATATTTTCAGAAACCTCTTCATTCCAACCTAATTTCATGGTCCACATCTTTTGTAATAATAGTTTTAAGATTAAAAGTACTGGTGCAGTGAATCCTAATGGATCGAAAACTTTATTTACAACAGATAAGATATCTTTTTGTAATTGAATCCTGACTTAATATTTAATTAGACATATATTTAATGTATCATGACATCTATCCCATTCAAGTCCCAAAATCGGAGTTAATTTAATTGGTTCGGGATTGATGTCGCAAGGGATCGTATATTCATTCATTACCTCTTCTTCTGAATCAACACTCTTAACACAATTGTCTACATAAAAAGTAGGTAGTAACTTCAAGATTGTGTTTACATATCTAGTTTCTTTAAGAACTGATTTTAAGTGATTATTTATTAAGCCTACCAGATAATACTCATCTATATTATATACTTCTTTTTTTAATATAACTGGTCATTAAAAATTGACAAATTGAATCTATTGTATTTTATTCTATCAGCGGAAGTTTGAAATCTTATTCAATTATAACTGTATCTAGTAAAAAGTTTTCAAGTGGTTCCTTGGTCGAGTTCGTCTAGCAATTGAAAGCGTAAAACGATAATGAATGTGTCGTGAGTTCGATTCCTGCTCAGGTCAAGCAATTTTTAATAAAAAAAAAATAAATGGTGTATAGCGGTTTGCGAAAATAATAAACAAATTATTAATAATATAAAATGGTGTGTGGTAAGTTGCGGTTCTGTAAAAAAAAGTGGGGATGTGGTCTCAATGGAAATATAATCCTGGACGTTTTTTGAATGTCCAGTATTCGACGTCCAAATATATTTCAGAATTAAACGTCCTCTGAATGGTCAAAAGGGTGCCATTTGTATACTTCACTGGACGTCCATTGGATGTCGGAAGTCCAGAAAAAACTCATTTTTGGACGTCTAGACATCCAAAATTGTATATCGAATGGACGTCCAATGGACATATTTGTATTGTGTGGGTGATAGCCAGGCCAGGTATTTAACTCTAAATACATAAACCTTAAATGACATCTGGCTTAACTTGGCGAGAAAACACTTGTTTATACAGAAATGAGTGATAAACTTGAAAGTCCTTTTAATATAATATAAATCCAGAAATTCTAAAAACATGTAAGTACTTTTTAAACCTAAAAGTTTTGAAAATATAAGCACATTGCAAATATTTAGTTAAATCTCTCAAACTTAATGTCTTTCTTATTGTTACCTTAATTTTTTTTGGCACCCTTAATTTTATTTACCTTATTTTTACTTAAGGAAAAGGTAATTTAATTTAAAAATAGGGCTCTTATTACATTTTTAACAATAAATAAACCAAATATTAAACAAATTTTATAGATAAATTATAAAATAATAAACGTCTTTTACTTTTATAACAAATAATTAATTATTACATAATGAATTATATTTTGGTGCCGAAATTTCACCATTGCTATTAACCCTAACTACTTCAATGTAATTAAATCACATTACAACATTTGCGCATGGACTATAACAATGATTTCAGATAATTTGTCAAACTATTTCGCTCAGTGTAGAAAATATGCATGTTTTCTCAGCGTGCTAAGTTGTGTATCAATCAAAGTCATGCTGTGAAAAAGGTACATCCGATATCAAAGGCACCGACAGCTACTGTCGCTTCTCCTTGATCGTTATTCTCGGGAGCAACTTTATAACGGCCATCTTCATCTCTTGAAACAGTATCAGAGAAAGATTGAAAAACAGATGCTTCGTGTTCCTTTTTAGATAGTACCTCAATAGGATCGTTTATACCAATAAGATCTAGATTACACATATTTATTGAACATCGAAACAGAAGAATGAATATATTGAGGATGAAAATAGTTCGTGACTTTTCCCATAATAGTCCATCCTAAAGGTTTTTGAAAAGCAACTAATCCACATGTTAAGCGATGACTAGGACCTGACAAGAAAAAACCAGCCAAATCAGCTCCAATAAGGAGTTCAATCGGACTATCCTTTGTATCAGATAACTTTAAATTTAGAGTTTGCAACTCTTCCATCCATGGACCTTCATGAATAAAATCAATGTTACTACAAATTATGGGTTGATCTAGAACATCAAAACTACACGAATATTTCTTCTCAAAACTTCCTACAGCAATATGGTAACATTTGTGATCTGTCTTATTTATTTTCACCTCAAATTTTGTAAATTACAATTTTTATGAAAACAACAACAATATAAAATACAACAACATTATCAACAATAACTCAATAAGGTATAATAAGTAAAACACCAAAGTTTTAAGCTTAAATCCACCATGTGGTGATCTGATTAAATTTTGATTACAGTTGGATCATCTAGAGGGTTCTTTATAGGGGGAATTTTTCTACCTTTCTCTGCAAATGTTTTAAAAATTAAAAAAAAAGTGGGCAGAAATTTACTTAACCTTCAAGAGGGTTCCTGTTAATGATCATGAGTAGTATCCTGCTTTATAAATTACAAAATATTGATAATCAGGTGCGTTTAAAATTAATTCAAGAAAGATTATTTCATAAGGATTAAATAGTGCACGACGTGTCTTTAGAATGAGTTCGGTTTTCTTAATTATTAATATTATTAATATTAATTAATAATATTATTAATAATATTGTATTATTAATATTATAGATTTGTTTACAAATCATTGAGTAAAACTTCACTTTTATATTGTGGAACAGTGCACCTTTAATTATATTTTGTAATTGGGTTGTTAATAACAGTAAATATAGTTATAAGTTTTATTTCTAGAAAAACAGCTTAAGATGAAAAATAGAAGTTGTATCTATATTTCTTTGAAACATATGACATATCCACCTGATCTTTGTTTTTTTTTCTATCTCAAATTATTATCTAAGAATTTTTCATGATTATTATGGATGTAGAAAAAATAGAGATTTTTATAATTATTATTATTAAGTGTCTAAGAATTTTAAATCGATTTTATAATTTTCAAAATCAATATTTTTATTAAAGGTAATAATTGTTTACCTGTATAGTGGCATTCCTAAGTTATCCTTAAACCAAAAAAGCATCGTTACGTTATCGTTGGGAAGAGCAGGTGTTATATCACAAGGGAGCTCTACGTCCTTCCCTGGCACACCCCAGACGAGACGAGCGGGTACTGAAACAAAAATAAAACTTTTAAGACGTTTGTCACATTTGAAATCACAGAACGGACTGATAGTCTGTACAAACATTTTTTTTAATTTGTTTTTCTACGAGGAATTTTTCCAATTTTTTACTAACCTATAAAACGAAAAACGCTTGGACAAATTAATTTTAAAACTTTCCATATTTATCGAGTATTTTGATGATTAGACAACACTGCAAGGTCGTGACTTCATTAATAATCAATGACATGCATCGTTATTTGTATAAAATACATTAGCTGATAAAATATTTTTTCTAAAAAGCACATTTTATGATACAAGTAGAATTATGCAGATGCGGCAAGTTCAAGATAATGCCCCCAATAAAGCTAGTTCGTTGCCGGCATTTTCTACCCTTTATATTTGAACCTTTATACTATAAAGATATAAAAATAGTTTCTGTATATTTTTTAAAAAACAATTTTCATTTGCGAACCTAAAATTGGCACAATCAGTAGGATTTCCTAATGGTGTGACAACACAAATCGTGCCATATTTACTTGCAAAATTCTGATCAAATAGAAAACCAATTCGAAAATTCATTTAATAACCCATATATTAACGTTGAATGCGATTTCTCAACATTTTACACAACTAACGACAAAAACAATAACACAAATGTTATGATACTTTTGATAATAAAGTTTTAAATTTTTGTTTGAGAGCTCTAACACAAGTTGAAGATGTAATTAATACGAACATGAGAAATCAAATTTACCTTATAATTTTATAGTAAAAATAAACGCAAATTACTGTATAGATACTGGTTGCAGTAAAAGGTTAGTAAACTCTGGATTAGCTCATACATTTTTTAAAAAAGTATATTTTTAACGAATATTTTTAAATACAAACAGTGCATAATGTAAGTCATCATAACGAAGTAATTCAAATCCCCATTTTTTGCATTTTTAATGTAGAAAAAGAAGAAATATTTCGTGTTTTTGATTTTAATCAAAATTTCAAATGTCTTATCGGTAATGATCTGCTTAAACAATTAGATGCATTAGTTGATTTTCATATAATAATAATAATAATAATAATAATGTTTATTCATAATAAAAAATATATACAATAATTAAAAATACATACAATCAATCCAATTGGATGAATAAACCTAAAAATATCCACTGAAGTATTATAAATACTTGTTTGTGGTAAAAAAAATATGATTATTAAAAGAACATATTTAAATACATATATTAGAAATGCATTAAATAAAAACTTGATAAAATATATAATAATTTTAAGTTATACATTTTTTTTTTAATTTTTTTTTTATATATATATTTTGTTTTTTTTTTTTTTATTTACTAGGCTACATAAAATATTAATTAAAATCATTGAAAGAATAGACTAAGAGAAAAAATTTTATTTTTTATTTTCTATTTTGTTCTTGTTCAACTCTCTATTATTTTATGAATATCTGTTGTTTCACTTTCTTTTAAAACTAGTTATTATCCCATCAGTTCAAATACCAATAATTCTCAAATTAAATTCGAACCTAGTCTAAAAATAAAAAAATATAAAATTATAAAAAGAAAAAATATTTAAAATTACACAAAATTAAAATAAATTTCACAACAGTTGGTCACCATGAAAGTAACGCTATTGTGGGAATATTTTATTTATCACTGATAGAACACCTAAGAATTCTTAAATCAATGTATCCAAATGATATTAAAAATATTATAGTCTATGTTATATTAGGATATAACAGTGATATGCATAATGCTACAAATTATACGCCATTTGAAATAAACTTTGGCCTCACACATTCAAGAAATCCAAATAATATATTTTTGCCTGTCACATTTTAATCGGATTATGCCGAAAATCATAAATTAAAATTGGAACATGTTTATAAAAATGTTACAGAAAAACTAGAATCAAAAAAAGACAAGTTAATTCCTAAACTCAATAATCGAGGAGATTCAAACAAAGATTTTAAAGTACGGTTGACTGTCTACAGACAAAATTCCCAATATAGAAATAAAAAAGACAATACATGTTTAGGTCCTTATACATTTACAAAATACAGCAGAAATTACTTATCAACAAAATAATTAACTAGAAATAATTCACATTAAAGAACATAAAAAACCTTCCGATACAGGTTCCTCGCAACCATCGACTTCACAAATTGCAAACTGACCATACCAACATTCCATAATATTACCGACAATCCTGGACTTTTAACTCTTAAATTAGGAAAGACTTTAAAAATAATCAACTACTGGTCATTTATAAGAATTTTCGACATTTCCAAAGTAATAGACGAATTTAAGTCACTACAAAAGAAATAAACTTATAAACCAGACCAAGTCAGATTCTTAGGACATCTTTGTTATATTTTAAATAGTAACCATATTTGTAAAATTAGTACACAAATTAATCAATTAAACCCATCATTTGAACAAACCCATAGAGGAAAACATGGACTTCTTAATGGTTTAGGTACCATAATTAAATTAATATCTGGAAGTTTAGATCAAAACGACGCCGAATAATATGACAAAGCGATAAAAAATCTTTCGAAGAATCAAATTAAGATGAAATCTTTAAGTAATGAACAAATTACTTTTTTTGAAAATTCTTTAATAGAAGCATAGTCTAATCAACAAGTTCAAAAGCGTGCTTTTGGGACATACTATTATGAAAATTATGTTCAATAGCTCATTCAATTCGGAATAATGTCTAGATAAATGTGTAAAGAATAATTTTACAGTGCATAAAAAATTGCAAAAGTTATAAACAATTAAACACCTCAAAAACATTGTGTTTGGTTTTTCGCCTATAGTTTGTAAACTATAAATATTTTTGGATTTTTAACAAAGATCCTTAAAGAGGAAGAAATTTGCTATAAATAAGTTCTTACTCCCGGAACTGTACCTCCATTATTTATAATTTTACCTATTGTCAATTTGTTGTTTTTTATATTTGCTTATAAAAATTGATTTTTTTTAAGTTTAATAAAAAATGGAATAACATTATTTCCGTAATTTTAATGCACTAAGTCGTTTTTGGAATTTTTATTTTTTTCAGGAAAAAAATAAACCAAAGTTGGGAATTTGTTTATAACAAATTGTTAACTTAATAAACAATGGAATTATTGATAAAAAAAATTTTTGTCCACGACCACTTAATAATAAATCAATATTCTACCTCCTAACTAAGAGCATATAGTACCCATATATCACGGAGTGAATTATGATAATTCACGCTTTTGTAATTCTGGCACATTCCGATGGATAACTAAAGATAGGCGATACTTTTCATAACGATATTTTCTAGATCGAAAAATCGAAAAATAAAAAAATCAAAAAATCGAGAAATCGAAAAATCGAAAAATCGAAAAATCGAAAAATTAAAAAATCGAAAAATCGAAAAAAATCAAAAAATCGAAAAAGAAAAATCGAAAAAAAATCGAAAAATAAAAAAAAACCGAAAAATCGAAAAATAAAATAAAAAAATGAAAAATCGAAAAATAATCGAAAAATAATCGAAAAACCGAAAAAATCGAAAAACCGAAAAAATCGAAAAAAAAAAAATCGAAAAAAAATCGAAAAAAATCGAAAAAATCGAAAAAATCGAAAAAAATTGAAAAAAATCGAAAAATAAAAAAAAAATTGAAAAATAAAAAAAAAATCTAAAAATCGATAAAAACGAAAAATCGAAAAGTCGAAAAAACAGCAGTTAGTTACTAAAAACTTTCCATTCACACTTAACTTTTATTTAATAAAGAAACCATAATGGTCGTGGACAAAGTATAGTATTAGACTCGCAATTTATGGCCATTATTCACTCGGGTGACTTGCGCCCCTCGCCTACGGCTCGGGACGCAAACGTCACCCTGCGTGAATAATGGCTACCATAAATTGCTCGTTTATTAATATACTATTTTGCTGTCACTTTGTAGAGGACTGTCAATTATGATTTTAAAAAAAACACATTTCTTAACTAATAATTTAAACAATAGATATATCAAAAAAACGAATATAAACAATTAAAAGTTATTATTAAGAAAAAAATTTTTTTTTAAAATCATAATTGGCAATTGTCTAGAAAGTTGTAAAAAAAAAATTGAAATACTCCATTTGTTTATAAATTTTTTATAAACAAATGGAGGAAAAAATTTTTTTTTTAATTAATAAATGTCTTTTCTCGACATTAAAACAGTAATATTATAATAAATTGAAAAAAAAAAATTATAGCACCACTGTGACTTTTCTGTTTTTGTAAACTTTAAAAAATTATTATAAACAAAGTATTAACATTTTTTAAACTTTTATGAAGCTATTTTGTTTTATATGTATATAAAAAGAGCTCCACGAAGCAAAAAAAAAATTACGATAATTATTTAATATTTTTATCAATTTGTAATGATGAGAGAAATTCTAAAAATTTTGTTAATTAACAATAACCTACTTTGTTGGAAAATTAATTTTCATGAAAAATTCTAACGGGAATGAATTCTTATAAGTGTTTAGAATACACCGTAATTTTTTAAAATTTTTGAATTTAATTTTATTAACTTAAAAAAATTATTTTATGTAACGTGCTCGGTTTCGACGCCGTGCGCGGAACCTAAAAATGGCGCGCGGAAGGCTACTTTGAGCGTTAAATTAAAATTATAAATAATGGAGGTACAGTTCCGGGAGTCGGAACTTATTTATAGCAAATTTCCTCCTCTTTAAGGATCTTTTTTGAAAAATACAAAAATATTTATAGTTTACAAACTATAGGCGAAAAACCAAACACCATGTTTTTGATGTGTTTAATTGTTTATAACTTTTGCAATTTTTTATGCACTGTAAAATTATTTTTTACACATTTATCTAGAGATTATTCTGAATCGAATGAGCTATTGAACACAATTTTCGTAATAGTATGTCCCAAAAACACGCTTTTGATCTTGTTGATTAGACTAGCAGTCAAGTTTTTAGCTTACAATCAACAAAGATTAAAATTTGAAATAAACAAAATAGAACACATTTTAGAAACCGCTCAAATTCAAAATTGAAAAGGGCTGCGGGTACGGTCGACTTTAG